TAGCCTGGTGCTCAGATAGAAAGCATGGTTGTGACTTTTATATTACTACTTCTAAGATTGCCCATGAGTCAACCTTTAGCATCAAGAAGATGCATCGTGATCACACCTGTGGAGCAAGTGGAGAGAACACAAAGGTTACCATGAAGTGGGTTGCAAAGGCTGTTGAGGATACTGTAAGATCCAATCCTGGTGCAGGTGTTGAGACTATATTGAGTTATACAAAAAAGAAATTTGGAGTACATGTTCCAAAAAGTTTGGCCTACAGGGCAAGGAGGAAAGCAGTTGATGTTGTGCAAGGGGATCACAAGACACAATACTACAGGTTAAGAGACTATCTGCAGTGTGTTTTGGACACAAACCCTGATAGTAGGTGTGTTGTGACAACAAAGGAATTTGAACTCCACCCAGCACCTACCCCAAGGTTTCATTACATGTTTTATTGTCTGTTTGCTTGTAAGGAGGGGTTCCTAAATGGTTGCAGGCATTTCATAGGTAAATCTAGTCTGTATAGTGCTTAAATAGGGATTGCATTACATGTTACTGCTTACTAATGGCTTAAAATGTAGGTCTTGATGGATGCTTTATCAAACTAAGTACTGGGCAGCAAATCCTGGCAGCAACAGGGAGGGATGGCAACAACAACATCTTCCCTATTGCATTTGGTGTTGTTGACAAGGAGGAGACAGATAGTTGGACTTCAGCTAAGGACAGTAATTGGTAGTGGCAACAAGTTTGGGCCCTACACAATTATGTCAGACAAGCAAAAGGTACAACTACTTCAGTTTGGTTTCTTACACAGTTTGGTTTCTTGCAGTATGTAATGCTTTCTCTACTTACTTCACTAGTTATTAATACAAAATCAATGAACAGGGTCCGCTCAATGCAATAGAGGATGTATTTCCTGATTCCCCTCAAAGATTTTGTTTAAGACACATATATGCCAACTTCTAATCAGCTGGGTTTAGAGGGGATGAATTGAAAAAACATCTAGACCAGGCTGCATATTCTTTCACTAAGAATGGGCATGATCTGGGCATGGAAGCATTGAAGAAAGAGAGTGAGGAGGCATGGAAGTGGTTGTCCAATATACCAGTCCATACTTGGGCCAGGCATAGAATGAATACTATATGCAAGACAGACCTTGTTGTAAACAATCTTAGTGAAGTTTTCGACAGGGTGATTCTAGATGTTAGGAACAAGCCCATAAGGACAATGCTTGAAGGAATGAGGACAAAACTCATGATCAAGTTTCAGAAGATTAGGGAGAAGACAGAGACATGTAGGTGGGATATCACACCCACTTACTCTGAGATATTGGAGGAGGCCAAGAAGTGGGCAAAATATTGTGATGCACATATGGCTGGACCAGGCATTTGGCAAGTTACAAGTAGTTCAGACAAGACCTACTGTGTAAACCTAAACAACTACACTTGTGACTGCAGGAGGTGGGATATGACAGCTGTTCCATGTAGTCATGCTATAGCAGCAATGCAGAAGGTCAAGCTACATCTTGAAGATTTTGTCCATGAGTTCTTCAAGAAGCCCCTCTACTATGAAACCTACAAGCATATTATATACCCTGTTCCAGGACCTGATTGTTGGCCACACACCATGGGGGATGACATATGTCCTCCAGTATTCAAAGAAAAGAAGGGTAAAAATCAGACAACTAGGAGGAAAGGACATTTTGAGGTGCCTGCCAAGAAGGATACATCAAGAATTGGGACAGTGACTTGTAGCAATTGCAATATGCAAGGTCACAGATATACCACATGTGGTGTTCCACTGAAACCCAAACTGCAGATGAGAAATAATAATCACCAGGTATGTTTATTGATAAAGAAATTTATGTTTCATAGGCTAGGTGGTTTAATTCTAATTTGCTATGTTAAATGTGCAGGAGAATAGGTCAGACTACTCTTCATCTACCAGAGCTACTACAGGTGTGGTTCCACCACCACCACCACCACCACCACCACCACCAGCAGCACCACCAGCACCACCAGCACCATCAGCAGCATCTAGGAAGAGGCCTGCAACAGCCACAACTACTCCAGGACCAGCAAAGAGGAAGAGGAACAAGGCAGTTGCTTCTGCTACTCCAACACCTGCCACATCAGCACCTGCCAAGAAGACCAAAGCAACCAAGAAGACAAGGGCTCCTAGCACATCTTCACCAGCCAAGAACACAAGGTCATCCATTGCCTCTCCAGCAAAGAACACCAGAGCATCAACAGCTAGCAGAGGAGGGGGGTACACAGGTTTCAATGCTCCAAGGCAAGCTGCTCACTCTGATGCAAACATTGATTCATTTATTCAAACATTCATAGATTCAAACATTCACAGAAATGGAAGGGATACATAGCTCAAACTCTCATTCATACTTAAAAAACTACTAGCAACAACTCTCAATCGTAACGATCGAAGAAACGACGCCACTTTGCTCTGGTAGAAGGGTGGGGAGCGATTACTGCCTGTGCCCTAGCCCACCTGATGATCTTCCCTGAGCTCTTGCGCCTGCCACCAGGGACAAGAACTGTGAACTCATCTGAGTTGCACTTCTCCAGGATCTTCTCTGCCAGCCTCCTCTTGAACTCCAGCTCCCACTCTTGCACTTCTCCAAGATCTTCTCTGCGAGCCCTTTGCCTCCTCACATCGACTGCTTGCACTGCCTCCTCTTCCTCATCTGTCACCTCCCCAAGCTCTGGATCCATCTAGGGTTTTTTAGAGGTGGGGTGTGGCGGCTGTGTTCTGGAGGGAGGAGGGTGGGTGGAGTAGGCTATTTATGAGCAGTGGAGGGTGGGTGTAGTAGGCCTAGGTTTGTAAATACAATTGGCCACAAAGCCCAGGTACAAAGCACTAAAAAACACATAGCATAAGAGGTTGAAATACATAGCATAGTCCAGCAGTGCTTATCACTGACTCCATAACATAGCATAAGAGGTTCAAATACAGGCACAACATTCATTACAACTTAGTTCATAACTTAGCATTAAAGGTTCGAGCAGCATAAACTACAGTTCTTAACATTGGCATAGACATAGACTAGATTAGCTTCACATTCCCCAAAATGTACACCCCATATCTTCACATCAGATTGTTAGGCCACATACTTATAAAGGCCTTGGATGTACTTCACCATCTGCACAACACACTTCATGAATCAAGGATGGCCTTGATTTTCTCAAGTTTCTGCTTGCTTGCATGCCCATCATTCAGCAGCTCATTAACCACATGCTCAAGCTTGGCCTTCTCTATCTTAAGCAAATCTCTCTCCTGTTCAACCTCCTTCATTGCCTTCCTGGTATTCTTGATAATGTCACCTTGACTCTGTAAAATGCACCTTTGTTCCTTGGCAAGTTTGAGCTTCTCCATCTGAACCTCCAACCTAGCACTCTCTTCTACCTCTTTCTTCTTCTTCTGAAATTCTTCCTCCTCAACTGCCTTCTGGTAATCCATGTGGTCTACCCTACCATCCTGCCAATCAAACATCTTGGATACATCTTGGACAAGCTTTGTGTAATCAATGCACAGCTTGTCATTTTCAGTCTTAAGCTTGGCCAAATGCTTCTCATACTTCTGCTTATCAACTACCCTACCACAATTCTGTTCATGGTACATGTCCCACAGCCTGGACAAGCAATTCTGAAGAATTGGATGCCAGGGCTTGTCAACCCACTCAGTAACACCACAGTTAACACCTTCACTCTGCATTTGGAAATTGAGATATACATCACTAAGTGCACTCAATTTCATAACAACAAATCATATCAGACTAAGAAACTGAAGGTGAGGCTTCAGAACAAATACATGTGTGGGTTCAGAACAAAATGATTCCAATTAAGGTACTATACCTACGGCACTGGACAACCATAGAAACACCTTCCAGTTAAGGTTCTTTCAAATGCCACACACTTAATTGGCCTCATGTGGTGCATCATGCAGGTGGGTTCAGAAAGCTCCAGCTGGCCACAGAAAAGAGGCTCCACGGTGGTGTCAGGGGTCTCCTGCATGAACACATCAACAGAATAACCTTAGCTCACAAAACCAGACATAGATCACAAATTAATTCCCCAATCCAGCAAGAACCCTAACCCTAACCATAGTTTTCAAGCATACATAAACATAGCTCAAACAACAACCATAACCCTGCCTACTAAATAACAGTAACCAAAGCTTACCCTAGCTCACCAAGATGAACACTAACCTAATCTAGCTCCTAGATGAACCCTAACCCTAGCTCAGCAGATCGAAAAACTTACCCAAAGAGCCATGTCCATGCTTGTGATGTCGCACTCGTCCTCTGAGCTCATATCCCCGTCATTCCAGGAAGGCATGGCGGCGGTGGAGCTTCCACAGCGCAAGTCGCTGCCGGCGTCGAAGAGCAGATAGGAGAGGAGAGTGAGAGCGAGAGAGAGATGAGTGCGGGCCGGGGAGCAGAGTGAGAGCAGAGAGAGGGAGGGAGACGACTTAAGGCAACGAGCGAGCGGGTGCGGTCCGACCGCACCGGTCGGTCCGAGTAACGGCCGTTAACGGCCTCGCCGTCACGCGCGGCGCTGACCTGGCCTGACTGGCGGGCCCGGACCGTCAGAAAACGGTTCAAAACGCTAGCAACGGGCGATTTGGGTTTTTTGAGACAGCCGACGAGAAAAGTGGTAGGTATCAGTCACAAACAAAAAAGTGGTGGTTTTTTGAAACCCTAGCACGAAAAGTGGTAGTTTTATGCTATTTACTCTATCAAGTTGTTAGTAAACGGAGTCTTAATTTGTTTGCGCTGCACTGACACCGACCGCACACCATACGATTTGGTCGCAAAATAGCAGAATCAAACGTCACATGATTTCTACCCCTGTATATTATAGAGATCGACAAGTCAGTTGAGTTGACTAGCGCTGGGCTGGTGGTGGGTTTGAGCGTTCGTGCGACCCACCCGACCGATCCCGCGCGCACTATTTTTTCGTTCCTTGCGGATAAGCCTCTGCCCCTCCGCACGGCCTACGATGGCCTCTCAGAGAGCAACCACGGCGGCGGCGTGGACCAACGAAGAGGACATGGCGCGGCCGCCCGCCGGAGGAGGACTGGTTAGTGGCGCTCGCGGTCGACGGAGGAGGTGCGGCGCCATTACGAGGCCCTCCCGCGCCTAGCAAGGACCGGCGCGAGGATCGGAAGACAAGAGCCTCGACCCCGACTCCGGGAAGGGCTGCTCCAAGGCCGAGCAGGAGCGGCGCAAGGGCATCCCGTGGACAGAGGAGGAGCACAGGTACGTATACAGGAAGGAAAGAAAGCTCGGGTCTCTCATGGACAACAGAGGAAAGCTCTGCATCTTTTTGATGATCGGGGTGCGTCGTGCGTGCAGGCCGTTCTTGCTGCCGGCTGGACAAGTTCGGCAAGGGCGACTGGGCGCAACTTGGTCATCTCCCGGGCCGGACGCCGACGCACAAGTGCTTCATCCGCCTCAACTCCATGAACCGGGACCGCCGCCGCTCCAGCATCCACGACATCACCACCATCAACAACGCCGCCCCGCAGCCGCAGCACGGCCCCGTCACCGGCGGCGTCATGGGCATGTACGGAGGGGCGCCCATGGGCCACCCGGTCGCCGCCGCAGTCGGGACGCCGGGGCCGGGGGCACCCGCGCTACGTCATGCCCCTCGGCTGCCCGGCCCCGCATCAGTAGGCATGCCATGCTTGCTTGGTCTCTGCTCTGATTCGTGCGCGCGCGCGACACGCCGGCATGCATGTCAAGCGCATCGACGAACCACGCCGGCCCTTGTGCTAGTGTATTGGGTCAGTGCATTCGGCCAGGTTAGGAGCGTTCCCTCCATTTACCCGCTGGGTAAAATGATGCTGCCGACAAATAGTTGCTACACCACCTATTTCGTATGCAATAATCCTAGACCTACGTAACCTCCCTACGTACTCTACCTAAACTTCCAAATCTACTACGAAACTGCTGTGCATCATTGCAGGTGGGCCTCTTGTTCCCATCCCTCGGTGGTGGAGGGGGTGGATTTTTCTGGTTCCTTTAAAAACCGCGCGTGTCCGTTCTGAGCCCCTATTTTTTCGTTCGTGCAACTACACTACTTATATTTTTTATCATATGTTCGGTCACTTGCACCTATGTGACGGAAAAGATGGTCCGGGGTGGGGCCGCGTCCTATGTGGCGGACTGCCCGGGCACGTCCGCGAGCCTTCATATCCTCCCCATATTTGAGATGGATATATGAGGGTTCGCTGATAGCTTGGGCGTGTAGGGATGGTATGAGGGGTCCGGTTGGGTCAAGTTTTTTCTTCTCTCCCCTGTCCGGTCACTGACCGGGCGCGTCCGCGAATGTATGAGGGATGGTTTGAGGCGTCCGGCTGCAGATGCTCTTATAGAGTTAAGACGCCCAATCACTGTTTGTGTCAGGAAGACGGTCTTCGGACCGGGCGAGCCCCATGTCCCTCTGTTTCCTTGCTCTCTTCGTCTCGCCAAAAGCCGTCGCACCACCTCCACTTCCGCCTTCGGTGCCCCGCTGCAATCACCTGCTGGTCGGCCCGTGCGCTCAAGAGGGGCGTCAGTGTCGGCGACTTCATTGGCCGCCTCCTCCTCTCCTCTTCAATCGGGACTCCCGCGAACACTGACCTCGCCGGCAGATCCCTCAGCTGTCAGGGAAGGCAACCATCAACGAAGATTGAGGGTGCCTCTCCGGCGAGCGTGCTCGTGTCGTGGTGGTTTCCCACATCCCAGCAGCGTGGGGGAGGCGGTGTCCTCTGCAACTAGGTTTACTTGTTGGCGACCTTACCATCACTAGCCCATTTGCAGGTATGCTACCTCCTCTTCTATTAATGCAAAAAGGAGATGCTCAAATGGATTGAGTGGTACCCTCCTGAAAGTACTGTAGGGATGGACATATGGATTGATTGGTAGCCCCTTGAAAGCTACATACATCTGAACAAATAACTTTAATAAGAATGTGTATCCTTTTATAATCTTGAATCTTTCTCGGTCCTACTAAACTGTAACTCATGTTTCTTTTTGGAAACAATATTTTGGACATATACTAATTAAGGTAGCTAGATGGGGACCTTTTGTTCTGGCCAGATTTGATGATTTCTCTCAATATACTGCTGGCGATGTAGTTGGCAATGATTGGGTGGGCAGTTCTTCGCATTGCATTATGTATTTATCATGTGAATATGTTCTCTCTCTGCAGATGAAGATAGCAAATATTTGTTGTATTCTTATCCAATCAGTTCACACCATTGTTGTGACCAACAGAAGATTTAGAACTTTCAAGCTCCTTTTTTTCTTGCTAGCCATGAAGGTGATACTTTAGTAAAAGGTGCATACAGTACTAACATTTTTGCTATCTTTATGCTCTTCCATATGGGTGAAAACTAAAAGGATGATGATATTATTCTACCTTTCAATATTTGGTGGCGCATATTTAAGAAAATCACAGCTAAGCATGACACTTTCTGGAAAGGCGCTTGACTGCAATGTATATGTATATAGTTAATAAAATCATAGTGACTGATTTTTCAGTTCCTCTATTTAGATTAGAGGTGTATGTATGCATATTAGCCAAGTGATCGGTCTTTCCAGCTCAAAAGAGAAAGTGACCGATGTTTTGGCATATTTTTCTATTAGGAATAAATGGATATGCCCATGCACGTATGCACACAGATTTCATGTTACAGTGTAATTAGGAAACATATGATACCTCATTGTGTCGTCTTGGTCTGAAAAAGGGGGATATACTTGGTGAATATATATGTTCCACCCGACCATTAATTTCAGAGAAAAGGACATGCACTTCAGTAGCAAAAATTTGATTGTTATGTACTATCTGCAATGCTAAGCATTTATTTGCTAATATCTCCTCATCTGAATTTGTATTTTGTACCATTTGGCCTTTTAACTATATGGGCATCCGCAAATGGTCTAAACACCAAGAAATGTCAGAGATAATAACTATACAGGCTGCTCCCGATGGACTAAGAATGGAACCATATCCCAGGCCTACATGCTAATATTGTACACCAATGAATGCTTCACTTATTTATACTTAATCGCCTGTGTAATAATAATCGCAATATTTGCTTTTGTACCCATCTTCATGGTTGAAATACTTTTCTGCAATCTGTGACACATTTGCTTCAGTTTCCATATGTCTTGCTTCATGCTATCAACATTGTTGATCATTTATCTTTATCTTTCTTTCCCTTTACAGCCTACTTGAATGGATATGGTTCCTGAAGGTGGATGTTGCTTGTTTAGATATATATGATTCCAAATTATTCAAAACGGTTCATGTCATACTGGATGTTATTTTATTGAGAGTGGCTTCTAGCAATATGGCATGAACATATTTGTTTTCTCTTTGGCCAATAATGAAATGATCTTGTCCATAGAAAATGGTTATCGATACCATAATTCTTGGTTTTAATTAGCTTCTTGCACTAACCGATTTAAGCTACTCTACTATCTACTCCCTCCTTTCCGGTTTATAAGGCTCAATTCAAAAATCTCATCAACCAATGTAGATGGTGAGTGGTGGAATACCTTTTGGAGTTTGCAAAAGCATCCAATTAATGCTCTTGTTTTTCTCAAAAAAGTATGTTTACCAATGCATTAATTGTAATGCATGCATTCATAAATTACATGCGTTGGTCAAATTTCTCTTAATACTTGCATGCAATGATTTAATGCACCTTGGAATCTAAACATGTGATGGGAAACAACCAAATTGAGCCTTATAAAATGGAAAAACTAAATTTTGAGATAAGCCCTATAAACCGGAAAGGAGGGAGTATAATACAATCCACATTGCATCATCTTTCCATTTGCGTCTCCTACTTATTCACTACTAACGTCGCTTCTAACTGGCTTCTTGCGCCATCAGCCCAACCGGGTCATCTAGTGGTTCATAAAGGGCAAAATGCAGGGGAGCACCCTACAAACTTAATGGTTGTCACCAGAAAGTTTTCAGATGACGTAAAATAGGGCATCAACACATTCAAACTTCGATTCCGACACACACTACTACATAGTTCGATACATTAAAACTCGATTTTGACGCACGATATATAGATAAAACTCGACATACTACTACATATATTATGACACACTACTCATCGTCGGAGAACAACTCATCCCAGTTGACACCATTGACGGAGTCCTCCCACTCCACCTCAACCGTGGAGGGGCTAGCCTTCGATGTCGATGTGTAATTCCCCACCTCTGCGTCCCTCGCAGAGAGGTACTCGTACTCTGCATGCACAAGCCCCGGATGCGCCTGGCGGAACCTAGCCATGTCCACCTCCTCGGAGTAATGGGCGCGAAGGTGCAACATTGTGCAGCGGCGTTCCTTCTCCTCTTGGCAGGATAATATCCACACTTCGGGGGCGAGGAACTCTGCCTCCTGCCAGTCAGCAGTCAGGGAAGTTTAGCTTGCTTTTCGGCCGACCAAACCTCCATGCAGCCAAGTCGTACACGCGTGTGGCCAACTCTGAGACTCAAAGATGTCGAGCCACACCCGTAGGCTGTTGCATGAGATTTCCATGGTGTAGCGACTAGACTCCCTCAGACGGATGACACGGAGGCCGATGCACCTCTTCACACAACGGTGTGGAGGCATCTCATGCTTGACACGGTGGTAGTGACTGAGGTGGTGCGGCGTGATGCGGCCTCGATTCGGTGGCGATTCAAGGGGAAACAGTGACGGATGACACGAAATCCGATGAATTCAATGGTGGCACGGCGGGGGCGGCTGCGAAGGAGGCGGGAGGGCAGTGGGGAGGTTTCAGCTGAGCTGTTGGGCTACGTGCACGGCTGTCTTTTTGTTTTGCGGCATCCGCGTCTTTTTGTTTTGCGGCAGCCACACAGCGCTGCAAATATACAACCCTAGAGGGAGTATTTGGAGCAGCCAAAAATTTTGCAGTACGAAATGCCTATAGCTCATCTGTTTGAGACGGGTTATTTGGCGCCAAATGCCCCAAAAATGTAGCTTTTGGGGCACCAAGCCTATTTTTGCATATGCTCCCAGCAGTGATGTTTTTTCAATACTAACGAGTCTAATTTTATGAGCAAGAAAAACATAGAAGTAAGATGTAATAGGTCTGCAGAAGTATGAAGCAACAAATGGATATAGCGAAGTTACTGATTGATGAAAAAGACGAACTATCAGCAACTGGCAGAATAACCTAGCATAGTAACGAGTAAAAATAAATGATGTTAATCTTTTCCTGGGTTCATATTGCACTGGTTAGGTATTTCCGTTTATGTCTACTTGGTTTATTTGTTGACCTCAACAACTCCTAATATGTCCAGGACTTGCAGTGTTAGATATATTGATGTTTGCACAACTTGTTTAGGAAACTAGATGAACTGTTGCTCCACTGGTGCAAATGGATGAAGCGAGACAGTATTCAACCCATAAGTTTTATTCATGTTAATGTCCATTATCAAGATTAATTGATCTTAGGAAGTGTTTGGCATTGACACGTACACCGTAAGCATAGTGGCTTCAAATGTCAGCAAGTTGGAAGTAATTGATCTTGTTAATGTAAGTAGTCGTAATGATGTCGAATGTTGTATTTACCAATCAAACATTCAATTTACAGTAGGTAGTTTGAGCCTATGTGAAACAATATATTCCATTTTAGTCAGAAACAATTTTTTTCCAATCTTATAAATTGAACCTTAGAAAGGAAGAAACTGCCCAATACAATAGCAGACTCTTCCGCGGCAGCAGTGGTATAAGACCTGAGACTTTGTTTTGGTACGCTGATAGGCCATCATAGAAGAAGAATACCGCCATCATAGAAGCACTGGCAGCAGTAGAAAAATTCTAAAGAAGTACAGTAGCATGTCATGTGAACTATCTGTGCCCATGCTCTGTTTTTCCATGGGTTGTAATATAAACTTTGGCAATGACAATGCAGATTCAGGTGAACATAATATTGTTTCTACTTATCTTTATCTTTATGGTCTTATAATGTTTCCATGAAATTAAGACCAGAGTGTATGTCCGGAGATGCAAAGCTCCAACGCCATCATGTCATATGGAGTTTCCTTTGGACATACATAGTTAAAAAGAAAGATTTGGCTAGCGTTAACATGATGATAAGTAGCAAGCGGACACATTTTCGTATATACTCCTGAATCTTTGATCTTCTCATATAACATGGATATACATGCTAGTGCAACATAGATTTTTTTTTTTGAAACGGAGCAAAAGCTTTGCCTCATCCATTAATTAAGAGAGAAAAGAGTTTGCTACAAGTCACTCAATACACGGCATGAGATCACTCTCGCAAAATAAGAGATCCTAATTTTTTTGCACCGGCGATGACCCAAAGGTTGGCCTCAGTATCGATGGAGTCAAGCAATGCAGGTGGAGGGGCGCTCTTGTGCTTGAAGACCCTTGCGTTTCGCTCATTCCAGACAGTCCACGTAACAAGCATGGTGAGGGACGCCTTGGCTTGGCGGTTTGGCGTGCCATTTATCGCAAGTACTTGCCCACCAAGCCTCAACCGAGTCAAAGAGGGGCCAACCATTGGTGTCAAGACCGTGAATGTGGTATTTGTCAATGATCAAAGACCAAAGCCTTCGTGTGTAGCGGCATTTGAAGAAGAGATGAGACCCACATTCCTGCACTCTCTTGCAAAGAGGGCAGAGTCACAGTTGGGCCACCCACGTTCGGCCAATCTATCGGTGGTCCAAATTATGTCTTGCAACGCCAGCCAAGCGAAGAACTTGACTTTGGGGGGGGGGGGGACAAGCCTTCCAAACCATTTTATCCAAAGGTGTAAGAACCATCCTGGTGTAGGGCAGAACCCTAGGGGCCGATCTTTCACGTTTGGAGTGGATCCTACGGGGAAACACGAAGAACGCGCGGAAAACACAAAGGGAAAAACACGGGGAGGAACGAGAGAATCACTAAACCGACATAGAATCAATCACGCGAGTGCTAGATCACCGAACACAAAGAGATACACGAGATCCAAAGTCAACAAAGGTAAGGATACAAAGGAACCGTTCTTCTCCATACGGAGGTCTTGATGATCTTCCCTAGAAAGGGGTCTTGAATCCGCTTGGGGGATCTTCTCCGAAGAGGTCGTGAACTCCGAGGAGAAGTATCCAAGTGGATGAGCAAGGCTCTCACACAAATATGAGCTAAACCAATGCTAACCCTAGAAAGAGGAAGGGGAAGGAGTATATATAGTCTAGGGGGGCGAAGAGGTACATGGGCTTCGGCCCTTTACTGTGCACAGACAGGCGGGGCCGGATGTCCGGGCGTCGGGCCGGATGACCGGGCCAAGTCGCCGGATGTCCGGGCTGGAGGCGATAGCTTCTGTAGTTCCTGGCGCGTGGCGCCGGATTTCCGGGACTTTGGCCGGATTTCCGGGCTGGGGCCGGATGTCCGGGCCGGACGCCAGATGTCGGGGCCCTGTAGACTTGGCCAGCTTGGCTGTTGCTGATGGAGACGCTCCGGGGGCCGGATGTCCGGGGCCTGGAAGGTGAACTTGCCCATTTCAGTTGGTTCTCTTCATCCATGGAGTTGGCGGCTTGTTCATCTTCACATGCATCCTCGGGAGGTTCCTCTTGACACCTAATCATGCATAGTATACCGGACTTAGGTAGTAGCCATGTCTCGAGTGGATCATATGTGATATCACTAAGGAGAGAAGTCACCTCGGTCTCGAGAGTTCGAGCTCGTGCTCTAGTCATGGGTCCTCTTGGTGCTTGGTGAGGCGACGGAAGGTCCATGGGGATGACCGAAGGATGCTCCGCATCACATCCCTAAGAATTGCGCCTTGTAAGCGAATGCCGCCGAATAGGTCCCACTAGCCATATGCTTCCATACATTGTCATCCTCGATGAGTTCATCAAGTTGGACCTCATGCAAAAGCGCCCAAAGAGTGAAGAATTGCGTGATGTGCTCCACGGAGATGTTGGTGGGGGGTTTAATCTTGTGGATCCATGCATTGTGTGAGAGGGCCTCCCGCACCTTTCAATTCTTTCTCTTTGACGCTTCATGAATGAGCGGGGCAATGTCTTTTGGCTTGCGCCCAAGGAGCCAAGGTGAGTCCCAAAAGGGGGTCTTCGCACCGTTGCCAATGGTGATAGTGGTGGATGCATAGAAAAAATTTAGGTCCTCGTCGCATGGGTTTCCCATCCCCACCGACATCTTGGTGGGCTCCTTCCATTCATACCATGGCCATCGCAACCGGAGGGCACGTGTAAATTTGTTGGTGTTAAGGACCCCAAGTCCCCCATATTGAAGTGGCCGGCAAACAATCTCCCAGTTCACCTTGCATTTCGCTCCCATCGTCTTGTCCGAACCGGACCAAAGGAAAGCTCTATGAAGTTTGTTGACTTTGAGCAAGATGGTTGGCGGAATAACTAGCGGTGTGGCGGGGTAGACCGCTTGGGAGGTGATCACGGACTTGACAAGAGTAGTTCTTCCGATGGTGGTGATGTTTTTGCCCTCATAAGTTGTTAGCTTGCTTGACATACAACCTGGATATGCATGCTGCTGAAACATGGCTAAGGAAGCTCAAAGTGTATCTTTAGCCTTTATCCTAGAAATATGATGGTTTTACTTCGGACCCTGTCCAGGCACCTAAATTAAATAAACAGGTGACCATGGCGCCTATACAAAGCATGAACAGAACAATGGAAATTTTCCAGGAAGAAATATAAATTGTATTTTCAGAGATGTACATGTAGACCTTTACATCCATGAGCCAGAGATAGGCGTGCCACGGTGCCAGCAGCTAGTGTTATGACATCAACATTTATACGATAGGAGTAGAACTATGAAAGAACAAGTAAAATTGTTGTGAAGTGCACCACCACAGGTAAACAGGGTCATAATTTTAGTTCAGCAGATCAACAGTATGTTTACACAACAGAGGTTTATAAACCGAACTTCATGGCAGCACCGCTACAGCGAAGTACATTAGACTGAATCTCTAATAAATGCTACCAGATACAAAGCCTAGGTTATCTATTATCCAAAACAACATCAAAACTAGCAGATGAAAGTAGAAACAGCAGGGGATATTTATGTTCTCTACTTGGTGGACCCATATGGCCGATGTTTCCATACACTCCAAAATGTAGCGAAGGTAGATTTCTCAGGGATTTTTTTCCTATGCATTTTCTATGAATCCCTCCAGCTTTAGCATGGTTTTTCGTTGTCTTGTTACTCATGAGTTTCAAGCACCGCGCCTGTGTTATAGGCTGTCATGACTATCAGCTCAACTACTTCGCCTGTGTTATAGGCTGTCATGGTTTTTCGTTGTCTTGTTACTCATGAGTTTCAAGCACCGCGTCTTGTTACTATTGTTTCACAAAACATGGGTGGTGCATATATACACAAATATAAATGAAGCTGAAATCACACCAAAAACCAAGCAAGCATAGGCGGTAACCATGGATTTCGAGTCGCTCGACTAGTCATCGTCGTCGACCACGAGTCGCAGTTCCAGGGCCGACTCAGCCTCTCGACTCGACTCCTGGGATGAGTCGAGCGACTCGCGCGACTAGTCTCGACTAGTCATGACTAGTCGCCTCAACAACTTCTCCTTTTGGATGTACTATTGTTTCACAAATATAAACGAAGCTGAAATCACACCGAAAACCAAGCAAGCATTAGGCGGTAACCAGTGATAAGCATTTGTAATTAGGAACTGTCGATGCCAACATTATTTTCAAATGGCAAATAATGGGTTAAATAAAATAAGTAGCCTCAAAACATAGCAATTACATATAAAAACAAGCATGATACTCCTAACCAAAATTGCACAAGTATGCGTTAAACTCAAATTCTAGGGTGAACCACACAATAACAATTGTGAAATATGAACCCTCCAAACCGACCCACCATGAACTTTACATTTTGCTAGCTGCAATCCACACAAAAGAAGAGAAGAAAACTGCGGAAGAAGCAAGGCAATAGCAACATCTACAAATAAAAGGTGTACAATATGTTGTATAAACTGAACGACTTAAATTTCAGTCCAAAAGTATTGAGTAAAACTGACTCGACAAGCTGCTGGAAACAGAAAGACATAGTCCAAGCCCAGCAGTACACCTTACTTATATACTCCTCCTTACATAACAGAGAAATGGAGAAAAGAAGTCCTTCATGAGCAAAGTACAGCAGGCACTGCTGAGTAAGTGGGTAGAATCTCAATGAGAACTCTCATGTCTGTGTTGCAGAAGAAAGACAAATCAAAACACCAAGGCAAATGCAGTGTTCTCAGGCCGTCTCAGTTGACAAGAATGGAAGCATATATCCAAACTAAATCCAAGAAGAGGAGAACTTAAACCATTGAACACTCAACAGAAACAGGCATTAAATGGACAATGCCCTCAATTGTGCCATTCCTGCTGCAGTCAGAAAGCCAAAAGAGTAACAGTTAAGACGTTATAACTGTAAGCTATAAAAGGTTATCGTATTGCCTGCTTATCCAAACCATTTTACATCTAAAAATCATAGGCACCAATTCAGGCTAGTAGCACTGCCACATTTGTGCAGTCAAATTCAAACAAATGTGTCACATAGAGGGCCATAAACAAAATTAATGACCTAAAAGGTGAAATCTCAGAACATTGCACAAACTGAATGACCTAAAATTTCATTCCAGTGTAGAGTAAAACGACACTGAAAGCTGTTATAAATATAAGAGACGCAATGGACAGCTAAAATCAGGCAGATTAACCAGCAAGAATCCTTACAAGATAAATAAATGGGAAAACAAGTTAATCATCAGTCAATTGCAGGAGCAAAGTGACAACATATTTCAGCACAAGTGGGTACAAATAAAATGAGAGCTTCATGTCGTTGCAGAAGGAAAACAAATCAAAACACCAAGACAAATTCAGTGCTCTTAAATCATTATGAATGGCAAGAATGGAGGCATCCAGCACAATATTCTAAATCCAACACATGTAGAACTTGGAACACTTGATATAAGCTACACTGAATCAACAATTGCAACAAACCTCACTTGTGGCATCGATGCTACCTGTCATGCTCTTTGGAATGTTTAATCTTCAAACCTGTCATGCTCTTTGGAATGTTTAATCTTCAAATCTTGCCTTTGACTGAGTGCCATGCAAATGGTTTTTCTTCACTTGGCAAAAACATATGGAATCAATCACCATATCATGTATACGATAAGATTTTTCCATGCCTTTATCAACATTGATGTCAATTGGTTGAACCATGCTTCTATTTAGGATCTCATTGAGTAATTCTATCACCGAGCTCAAACTTGCTAATCCCTTGTTTATCATTATAAATAAAACCTCAAACTATCCATTTACATATCGAATAAGCTTGCTTAATCTTCTAAAAACATAGTTAGACATAATAACTAATCCTATAGATAAGAAGGCAGATCAAAGCTACTAGTAGTTAGTAAAAAAGGGTTGACTTGTAGATCAAAGCACTTGCATAATCTAAAAGTCAAGAGCCTGTTTTACTCATTTAATGCTACTTTTCATAGTATTGGTGCAGCATGTGTGGCTCGTACTTACGTTCGAGGATCTTTAAGCATATTTCCAAAAGATTACAAAATTCAGAGAGACGGACTGATATGGAGATGGATAGCTGAAGGTTTTATATATAGTGCAAACGAGAAATTGGCCCAATTTGAGCTAGGAGAGATTTACTTCAATGAGCTCGTAAACAGAAGCATGATCCAACCAGTGGGCATCAACGGTGAAAGCATAGCAAAAGCTTATTGTGCACATAATAAGATGATTGATTAATAAAACAGCCTTCACTTCATCCCATACAAGGTACCTATTCAAATGAAAGTTTTTGCAATGGTTAGCGGCAAGCAAATCAACAAGAATATGAGCTAGTTATCTATCTAGGCAAAATACGAGCAAAACCTAAAAGAAAAACAGCTTATATCAACCAACACTCAAACTGTCCCCACAAGAAAGTCGAGTGAATGACCAACGATCAGCACACATCAACCAGCACAAAAAAACAGTGGATGGTACAGGTGAATAACAGTATCCTTTCATTTCTTTCGCAGCAGCATCTTTTCAAGTCCACAAGCAGTTGTTATTTTCACCCCACACTAGTATGACTAGTATACAGTTCTTCATAGACATACATTGCGTATAGGAACCTTTTGGTGGATGAGCTCAAGATGCGTCTAATACAGATCCACCTAGCTAGGATTGACTGACTCAAGGAGAAGACGGAATAGGAAGCTTTTGGTGGATGAGCTCAAGTAGCTTGCGCGAACAAATTAGCACCGTAAATCTATCATGGATGGGCAGCAATTTGCAGTGAAGAATTAAGGTGCACACACCGGCCGCCCGGCCGGACAGGAAAGAAAATTGCTTGGCACTCGTGATTTACTTCAAGAAACTAGATCCACTCGCGATTTAACTGGATCTCGAAGCAGACGCATGATTCACTTGGAGTAGAACGGAAGGAAACCGACAGTTTGCTCTTCAGATCCACATCACCGGCCGAACAAATCTAGCTCAATCGGATCTAGAACAGAAAAAGAAAGAAGTAACGCTGACGGAAACCGACGGCTGGTCACCAACAGTTGGCACTTGAGATGCACACGCAGCAGATCTACTCGGTAAACTATAAGAAACTGAACTAATCAGATCTAGGTGAGGAAGAAACGGAATATACCTCACGCTGTGGACGCACTTGTCCCGCGAGATCCGGCGCCTCCCCCTGCGAGCACGCGCCTCTTCGGGCCGCTGCACGTACTCACAGGCGAGCAGGCCGCCGGTGATCTCCGGGAGGAGCCCCCCGCCCGCCGCTTAGCACTCTCTCTGTCTCTGTGACTGAGTCTCCCACTCTCCAAACCAGGTAGAAATAGGCGGTGAGAGCAGAGGCCTTGCTGACGGGCTCGGCTAACCATGTGCCGCCAAAGAGACGCTGCCCTGTGGCCCTCCGCACGGTATGGTCCCATGTGTCTGGACACCCAGCTTATGCAACGTACACAAAAAACATGAACAACTAAGATGAATATGAGATCTGGTTAGTAAGAGCAACTTCAATGGGGCGACCAATTTCGTCCGCGACCGTCCGTTTGGGTCGGTGCGGGCAGAAAAGGCGGCCCAACGCGCCGACCCAAATGGACGCGCGTCCGTTTTTCGTTCACAGGCGACCCATTTTCGGTCCAATTTTGAGCCGGATTTGCGTCGGCGCGGACACGAGACAGACGTGTGCGCGCGCCTACTCCTGTCTCCGGGCCCGCTGGTCTGTGGCACATTGGCCTCTCCTCTCACCCTCCCCCCGGCCAACAAGCAACCCTCGCCTCGCCTCCTTCGTCACCGAAGCCGCCGCCCATTTTTGCCGGCGACTCTTCCAGCTGCTGCCGCCTCCACATCCGCCCAGCAACGCCGCCCCTGCCCCCCGTCGCCCGTCGCCGTTGTTTTGCCGCCGGGGAGCAAACTGGTTCCCACCGCCGCTTCCCCCATCGCACAGCCGCCCGCGACCAAGAAGACGCCTCGCCGCCCCCGCCACATCCGACCGGCACGCTCGTCGGACGCCGGCAAGGCAGCTAGCTGGTCTGTGGGCGCCGCATCTCCGCTCGCCGGCCGTCTCCTTCTTCGACGCCCGCAAGCTGTTCGACAGCTTGCCAAGGTACAAAAATAGACTCCGCCGACGAGTTCTTTTTCCACAATTTCCTTTGTGACTCCGACGATTCGTCGTCCGACGACGAGGAGGAGATATTGGTTGTCGTGTTGGTCCATCACCACCTCAACAGCCAGCGGCCATTGTTTCGTGACTCCATTTCGGGCCACCTTCCGGCGTTGAATCGCAACCGAGAGAGCGGGCATTTCCTTCTCTGGAAGGACTACTTTGATACAACAAACCCGTTGTTCAAACATGACAAATTCCGCCGCCGGTTCCGTATGAGTAGGCATGTTTTCAACCGTATTAGAGAGGGAGTGGTCGGCTATGATGACTACTTTGAGTGCAAGAGGATGCCGTCGGCAAGATTGGTTTCTTCTCTTATCAGAAATGCACTGCCGCGATCCAAATGCTTGCATACGGAGTGCCCGGTGATCTCATTGACGAGTACGTCCGTATGAGCGAGTCTACATGCCTAGAGTCTCTATATAAGTTCTGCAAGGCTGTGATTGCTGTGTTTGGCCTAGAGTACTTGAGAGAGCCGACAGCTGAAGATACAGCCCGTTTGTTGGCGATGAATGTCAGCAGGGGCTTCCCGGGGATGCTTGGCAGCATAGACTGCATGCACTGGAAGTGGAATAACTGCCCTTCTTCTTGGCAAGAGCAGAATAAGGGACATGTCAGGGCTTGCACTGTCATACTAGAGGCTATGGCGTCTCAAGATCTCTGGATCTGGCACTCTTTCTTTGGCATGGCTGGATCACACAATGGTATCAACGTGCTTCAGCGCTCGCCGGTGTTTGTTAGGCTTGCCGAAGGCAACAGCCCACCGGTGAACTTTACTGTCAACGGCCACAACTACGACAAAGGGTACTATTTGGGTGGGGGTATCTATCCTCAGTGGACCACTATTGCCAAGACAATACTCAACCCTGTCGGAGAGAAAAGGAAAAGATTTTCCCAAGAGCAAGAGAGTGCTAGGAAGGATGTCGAGCGTGCCTTTGGTGTTTTGCAATCTCGATGGGGCATCGTTTGGTGTCCTGCTAATACTTGGAGCACGCAGAAACTATGGGAGGTGATGACTGCTTGTGTGATCATGCACAATATGATCGTAGAAGACGAGCGCCCGGAACGTCTGTACGATCAAGGCTTTCAGTTTCAGGGTGAGAATGTTGTGCCTGAGCATGGAGTAGCGGCAACATTTGAGCAGTTCACTCAGTTTCATGAAGACATGCGTGATTGGGAAACTCACGTGCAACTGCAAAATTATTTGGTTGAGCATATGTGGACTCATGTTGGCAACCAATAGATGTATCTTCTTTTACTCGTTTGCAAGACTATGTGAAACATTTTTATTTGTATTTGGCTTGTAGAACTATACTATTTATTTGGGCGGCTAAACTATTTTGCTTGTTAACATTTTCATTTCATAATATGTTTGAATGCAAATCAATGTAAAATTGGGCGGCCAACCAGCCACGCCTGCACATATGGGTCTGTGCGTTGGGCGCGCTGCCGACCCATATGAAAAACAGGGCGGACGCCGGGCGGGCGGCCGACCCAAACGGACAAAAAGTGGACGAAATCGTCGTCCGTTTGGGTCGGCCCATTGGAGTTGCTCTAAGCTCATAAACGATATATCTTTGATGCGTGATTAATAAAGCTACCCACGATGGCATTTCGTAAAAAAGAGATAAACTTAAGGTATGAGGGGGCAACATAGCAACTAGTTCAAACGAGCATCGACCCGAGGGTGTTGTTGTTTGCCGCCTCTCCGGTGCCACTTTCCATCTTGCTTCTTGTTGTTCACTTGTTCCATGTGGACTGGGGTACTGGATCATGGACCTACTTCTGCGAGCAAGGAACTTGATCAGTAAGATATGATGTAAGAACATTTACAGTCAGGCACCTCAAGCCTGCTTCATACGCTCGGGCGGGCCACTCAGCCACTGTCCAGCTGCAAAATTTTGAATTAGACGGACGCCTCAAATGGGCCTCAAACGCCCAGGCTGACCGGCACCCCTTGTATCCAGCCCAAATATGGGGCGGATATGGGGGCGTCTGTTGGAAATATGCCCTAGAGGCAATAATAAATTAGTTATTATTATTATATTTGCTTGTTCATGATAATCATTTATTATCCATGCTATAATTGTATTGATAGGAAACTCAGATACATGTGTGGGTACATAAACAACACCATGTCCCTAGTAAGCCTCTAATTGACTAGCTCGTTGATCAATAGATGGTTACGGTTTCCTGACCATGGACATTGGATGTCGTTGATAACGGGATCACATCATTAGGAGAATGATGTGATGGACAAGACCCAATCCTAAGCCTAGCACAAAGATCGTGTAGTTCGTATGCTAAAGCTTTTCTAATGTCAAGTATCATTTCCTTAGACCATGAGATTGTGCAACTCCCGGATACCGTAGGAATGCTTTGGGTGTACCAAACGTCACAACGTAACTGGGTGGCTATAAAGGTGCACTACGGGTATCTCCGAAAGTGTCTGTTGGGTTGGCACGAATCGAGACTGGGATTTGTCACTCCGGTTGACGGAGAGGTATCTCTGGGCCCACTCGGTAGGACATCATCATAATGTGCACAATGTGACCAAGGGGTTGATCACGGGATGATGTGTTATGGAACGAGTAAAGGGACTTGCCGG